CTGGGTCCAGCCAGGGTCAACCCACCACAAGTTGTCTGTGTGCGCTGCAGTCGCTGTGCATGGACCAGTTGGAGTATTTTTGGAACAAGTGAGGAAGTTTATTCCAGTTATTTCATTTATAGCAAAGTAGTAGCTTGAACTTGAGAAGAGCTCCCTGTTCGTGTCGTTCGGCTGGGCTGTGCAGTGGTTGGAGGCTCTCGATACTACCGCTACTTTACAAAAATATTTGGCACAAGCTCATAAAATCACTGAGACTTTTTTTTCTCCCCCCCTGAAACCCTCTTAATTTTGTTCCTTGGTAATGTGGCATACATCCCCCACCTGTGCACATAAATATCTTTAGGGTTTAATTAATTCATTAAAAATAGCTGAAGTATTTAAGGAGGAGCGCCTTATAAACAATAAAGCAGAACATCTTGCTCATTCTTGCCATTACTCAGATAGAGGCAAGCAGCTGGTATGACAGCGGGGTTTTCCTGATGTGATTATCCCAAGTTCCAGGGCAGGACCTTGCATCAATTGGTGTGAAGTAGCTGAATGGCTGGACGTTAAGTAGAAAAGCATCTTTTTTTAGTAGCTAAACTAATAAGAGTAAGTTTGTGTGAAGCAACGGGAGCAGAAAGTGATGTTTCCAAGATGGAGCAAAATAATTCTCTAGCCATTAGGCCTCCACAGATTCCAGGCTTATCTATTACTGGGGTCCACATTCATCCCACCTAAATTCAGACACTCATTGGATTCAGTCAAAGTGAAAAGTGGCCAGATACATCTTTTGGACGTGCATCCCGGCCTTGCCCGCACAGGAGACCTTCCCTTAGACATCTCGGTTAAACTTCAGTGGGATGAGCATTGGCTGAAGAATCTCATCCAGCAAATCCTCGAATCTGTTTTACTCCTCCACAGTCATTCTGGGAATTTGCCTTTTCAGGTGAGGTTCTTCTCCATAGGGAACAGAAGGGACTGCTCATTTGCAGGGAGAAGGTGGCTCTGAAACCCTTTCACAGCTTTGGGAGTTATAGCGCACTTTAAAAACTTTGTTTCCTTGATCCTAGTGCCCACAAAGCCTCAAGCCTGTCCCTAGTTGCAATCATTAAATCAGAAATATCCAGTGTTACTGGCAGGGAGAACGCATATATCATCAAATTGCTCCTTTTTATAAGTGGTTGATCACTTTTGTGTGCTTCAGGGAAGCTATGTGAGAAAGCTTTTGCGCTCATTTGTGAATAACAGCAGGGATAAATGGTGTTTCTCTAGCTTGTCAATTATTTGTTCTTTTCTTTCCATCCACTGTTTGAGTTCTTGATCTTGATGAAGGTATTACTTAATTCCTGCATTTCTGAGCCCTTAACCTTGGACAGATACATAATAGGCGTGTATTTAGGCACTACCGGGGTGCTTTAAGCAAGCTGTTTTCCTTTGAAGCTAAGAGTGACTAAGCCTGGGAAGTTCTCTGTTCCTCCTCATCTCCTCCTGCTAGTTAATAGACTTCACAATGGGATCTCGAGACACTCTGTTAAGCTTTTGAAGTTATTACCTGCTAAGGTTTTGCTCTTTCTGAGTGCTGAACATTGAATTACTGACTGCTGTTAGAAGCAATGAGAAAGGATTCACAAAACCGACAGAGCCTTGCCTATAATTTCTGCAGAAAAAGAGCTGAATTTAATGGATAAATTGTGTTGCTGGGGAGATTTTGATTCTGTTCCCTCCTCTGTCACCAGTTTGCCTTGTGATTTGTGGTAGCGTTTTCAGTTATGCCAGTCACATGAGAACAAAACCCATGAGTCGGACTCCACCCAAATCATGAGCCTGGCTTCCAGATCGAGGAGCTTTGAACGCAGATCATACCGTACTTTTTCTTTAGTTTATCTTTCGTTTCTGGAATTTCCTCTGTCTATTCCCAATGTGTCTCTAGCAATTAGTGTTTCCCACTCTTTTGGAAGTGTTGGGAAAATATTTTGACCGTTTGGGGCTGTTGGAGGCCTCGTTTGACTGCCACAATTCATTTTATTTTTGATGTCTAAGTGGATCTTATTTCTTCCAGACACTGCATCTTTCTCCTGTCCCCAATGACTTCTGCATCCCTTAACCTCACATGACCCATCACTTCTGTGTCTTCATTGCCATTCATCTGCTTTGTTCCCTCAATAATCCTCTCTGGTCTTGAGAGGGTTTTTCACCATTGCCTTGCAGGAGAATGTGTAAAAAGATGCAGATCTGGGTACCCCTTAACCTTTGTATGAGAATATATAATTGGAGAGAGTAGGGAAATGGTCTCCCTGAGTCTCTTTCCTGAAAAAGGTGAAATTGTTACTTGCAGCACAAGAAGTGGGTGATGAGGACAGGCGGGAGATTGCCTCCGTGCGGGATGGAGACCTGCAGGGGGGCTGGAGCTTTGCGTGTTATTGTGGGACAAGACCCCTTTGCTCACAAGGTATTTGCAGGACTTGGCAAACCAGGGTTTTACACTCACTTCGAAAGGAGGCAGGTGAAGAGTGAATCAGATTCAACGGAGTTATAAGCCAAAGTAAATCCAGAGAAGGTAAGATGAGAATCAGCCCTTCTGTCTGCACTCTTTTGCCCTCTAATTCAGTCGTCGATCTGTTTTTCTTCAAATTTTAGGTTCAAATACATTGTTTGTAGACTCAGTTAGCCAACTCCATTATGAAGGATATGATTATGACTGAGATGGTGAAAAAGCCAAGGGGAAATTTGGCATCGTATCGCTGTTTTCTCCTATAGCATTTGCCTCTTTTCAGGAAGGGTAAGAAGTTAAAAGTTACTGGCACCGGTTTAACAAGCCAAAGCCAAAGCAACAAATGTGAATTTGCAGTAATTATTTCATGCAATACGGTGGTGCCTGGTATTGCCATGGTAACATTGTCATTGTTTTGTCATGAAATTTGCAGAACAGAGCTAACTATTTAATTAATAAAATTTTGCCAAACCAGGCTACTCACACCTTAGGCAGGTGGGAAAATGCATCTTCTCTTGCTCATCCTCATGCCGTACCACTCTTTCATTGTTTGCTCGTTCTTGCATATGCCTTGTGCCAGGCATATTGCAGATCCATAATTTCAGGTAAAAGTGCAGCCAGACTGTACCCCCATATCCAAATACCTCTAGAGTCTGAGTGTTTGAAACCGAATCTGAACCCAGAGAAAAACTTTACATAGCCCTAAACTTTACGACGGGTTGTCTCCAAGCCTTGAATCCACACTCACTCCATATTCTGGTGGATGGGAAATCTGGAATTTGTTTTTAAACCCAGAATCATCAAAAGCTGCGTTCAAGACATGAGAAAGATTCACGACGCCTACGAGAAAGCCTTTCAGCTAAACATTCCACATGCAAGGCCTGAATTTGTAGCAACTGGACACAACTCAAAATGTTTCTAGTTGTGCTGTGAATGCTTCACAGAACTGCAGTAATTAGAAGCGGTTCCTTCTTTAAGACAGAGAAATGCTACCTCACAGCTTGAATATTAATAAGATAAAATTTATGAGAGCAAACAGAGTAATATAATATTTTCTCCAAAGGAAAAGGGCATGTATTTGCTTAGCTCTTTCATCAGCTGTTTTCGGACACACACTGTGTGCATAAAATACAGTTATGCAACCCATGTGGGTCAACAACGGAAGGTTGGTTGCTTCACCAGGATTATAAGAATCTTTTAAACACAATGGCACCACAAATTAAAATGGAAATCTATCAAAACCATTATCATCCTGAAAGCTTTAGCCACAAGCATAATTATGGTAGAGGGATGTTGTCCTTGGACGCAGCTTTGGCTCAGTTCAGCGAGTGTTATTTGTATCCCTCCGTGGCTCAAAGTCAGAATTTGCATGGCTAAAGACCATAAATTTTTAGAGGAAAAAACAGGCTGTCAATGCTAACACTAGCAGTTTTTTATTGTTTTGTAGTGGTTTGTAGGCAACTCATTAGGTATTAGAGATAGGAACAGTCTGAATGCGGTGGCTGAAATCTGCCTTGAACCTCGGAAGGATTCGGATGGAGATTTCTGTCTGGATCTGGTCGTTTGTTTCTGAGGCTGTTGCTTTACTGGATGTGAGCAAGAACGAGTTAATGTCCGGAGTGCTTGGGTTTAAATCTTGATCTGAAAGTCCACATTTTGGGTAGTAAAACAGTGAACCAGATCTTAAGCTGATATAAGTTGCACTGCATAGACTTAAATAGAGAAAAAAACTTGTTCTGAGTTTTCTAGCACATCCACGAATCAGGCAGTCCTGTAGGGATGAGAGTAATTGAAAGAATATACAGTCTCCTGGATGTTGCTTGCCATCAGTAAGGGACACATCTCCTTTACCCAGAGCTGCCCTCAGGAGAGGCACCAGGTTGCTTTCTCAAGCTCCTGATGAAGGCTGAATCCTGGAGTAACTCCATTCTTATGTTGATGATAAACTATATTAAATAACAGGCACTGTCGGTTATGTTTAAACTGGTTATTTTTCTTTCAACATCCAATTTTCCATCTTGAGGGAGGTAAGTGACTAACAAGTCTGAAATCTATTTTTCCTCTCTTTCCATCCCTCAGGCTGGTATAGATGGAGAAAGCATTGGGAACTGCCCGTTCTCCCAGCGTCTCTTCATGATCCTGTGGCTCAAAGGAGTTGTGTTCAACGTCACCACTGTTGACCTGAAAAGGTAAAAATTGTTCCATTTAATTGAAAATAGTTATATGATCCAATGTTTGCCCTATAGAAAGGCCCCACCAAGTTCAATCAGATTTGTATCTAGCCTAGAGAGTCTGTGGTGCACAACAAAATAGTTGGGATTCAGGTTTGGGGTTTTTTTTCACTTGTGGAATGTTTTTATATTAAACAGGGTGCTTGGGGTAGTTTCAAAGTCTTCTAACCACAAACTACAGAAGAAAAAAGAAGGGCAAACTGATTTTGTGGGAACTATAAATATCTGTGCAACTACCTGACCATAACGATTACCGATTTCATGACTTTTTCTCTCTCTGAAGAAAGCCAGCTGACCTACACAATCTGGCTCCTGGGACCCACCCACCTTTCTTGACTTTTAATGGAGAAGTCAAGACAGATGTTAACAAGATTGAGGAATTCTTGGAAGAGATTCTTGCACCTCCAAAGTAAGAACTTGGGATTTTTTCGGTCAATATTCCATTTCCTATGAATGAAAGATGTCCTAAGAGGAGTTCCTAAAAAGCACTCCCTCCTACAACCTTTACTTACAGGAGTAATATTTATTTATGAAACTTGCTGGCTTCAGTGAGATGACTTCCATGTGTGAAGGTTACTTGTATGACTAATAACTGCAGAATGTTTTCTCTGTACACATTTCAGGATGCCCTTGTATGCAGAATGGAGGAGAGCAATACTAGAAAAATTTTGTAGGGGTCTGGTGTCCACATTTTAGAAAGCTAAAAATAACTTGGAATAGATGCCGAAAATTGCCACACAAAATATCTGTGTCAGGAAAAGCATTTTACAGTGAAAAACTGGAGGTTTCTGAGCTGTATGGTGTATTAGAAAGGTTGGAAGGGGAACTGATTACAGAGTACGAGAGGCTCTGGAGGCAGAAAAGTGCTCGTTATTCTAGTCAAGAAACGACAAGAGCCCATGACTGGAAGTTATAACCAAACTAACTCAGATTAGAAACAAGGCACAGATTTTTTCAGTATGGATGATTAACCATTGGAACAAGCTACCAAGGAAAGGTTCAGATTCACCAGATATGCCTTAGTCAAACATTTTGGACTTAATACAAGGATAATGGGAAAAAAAATGTTGGCTTGTGTTTTGGACTTTAAAATCTATGAATCAATGAAAATTGGCTCGGTTCCTTATGGAGTGTTTTACCTCCAACTGAATCAGCAGCTATAGGCCAGTCCCGAGGCCAGAGATCAGATATTTAAATTTTCTATACTCTGGTCCAAGACCACTGAAATCAGTAGGAGTCATTAGTTTGTGTTGGTCTTTCAAATCGATATATTCCTTTGCACCAGATGTCTATAAAAAACAATTCAGAGACTGAAAACTTTATGTTCCTTCACCTGGGTAATACTAAATGCCTTGCTATTACATTCTGGAGTACATTTTCAGCATAGGGAATTAGACACCACTGCCATTCATAACAGAGAGCGCTGACTGCCAAATTCCCCTGCACCTTTCTGGAAATTTATGCTTCCTTCTGATTTAAGGCCACTGTATTTTGGATCGTGGTCACATAAAGCACCAGTGCAATTACCTTTGTCAGGAAGCCATCCTTGTGTAACTATCCAAACGCCTGCCTTGATAGACACAGATATTATTAAGAGGGACTTGCCAAGCTGTTGTTTTGAGATAAATGACAGCGTTAATTACAGTTCCTCACACAGGGCTTTTTTCTTTCTTCTTGTAAATTGTATTTGTAATCATCACTATGTTGCTGGTAGGAAGATGTTACTCTCCACACTGCTTCTCCCTTTTCAGGTACCCCAAGCTGGCTGCTAAGCACCGGGAATCAAACACTGCTGGAATCGATATCTTCTCCAAATTTTCTGCATACATCAAAAATACCAAGCAGCAGGATAATGCTGGTGAGTAGGATCATTACCAAATGTGCCAGGGAGTTTGTGGAATTGGAATAATTTTGCCATTCTCCTACCATTTTATTGTAAACTCTGTTCATATGTCATCAGGTACCACTGCTGATCAACTTGAGGTGGTAGCTTCAGTGGACTCAATTCACATGTCCACAGTTGAATTGATTACATTTATACTTGTAAATAAAACAGGCTGCAGAGCGTTCAGTAGCCCCTTTACCAATTGCCATGACATGGCTCCTGTCCATACAGCCCAGCTTCCTCACCAGAACAGGATCCCATACTCCTTACTGGAAGCAGCTGGTGGCCTGTGCTACCTCCTCTACTCTGCCCAGGCACTGCTTAGAGGAGTGCTAACTGACTGGACCCAAACCCACGCTAGTAGTAAAAATTCAGCAGTGAATGACTGGGTGAGAGCAACCCATGCCCTGACCCTTCATGATTTTTTAGGTTTGGCCATCAGACTCTTGGCCCACTTATCTCATGATTATGTTACGCCGTTATAGCTAATTTGCTCATATAAACTGAGTTATATCAAGACATTAAACATAAAGTAATTAAATGAAGGAAGTGGCCTTAAGAAATGTAATTGCACTCTGTAAGCTCCAGACTTTCCCTCACATGTTTGTGTGTCAAAAGAAATACCTCCCCCAGAAGCTGGATGCCATGCATATTTACACGCATCCTACACTTTGTAATGAAATCGCTTTTCTTCTCCACATTCCTTTCCCCTCAGAGAGGCAAGACTTCAGCTAGTCTAAGCTCCTGTTGCTCCCTGAAAGCTAATGGATTTACACTGCCATATCCCTCGAGATGATCTAGTAGAATATTTGCAGTCACTCCCTGATGTACATCTTACCTGATATTACTAGATTCACAGACAGAGACCTAAGGTGTGTTAAACACCATGCACTCATATCATATCATATCATTCAGAGAAGACTAGATTTTTTCAGGATCCATCTCTGCTACAGATTTCACCTGTGTGATTATATTTCATTGCCTGGGGCTGACCCATGAGAAGAAAATGGCTAAATGATGATTTATGTCAGGTAACAATCTGCTCCGTAATATTTTTGCGTTGTTAACAGAAGGAAATAATTAAAGTGCTTCACTTCTCAGGGAGGCTAAAAAGTTATTTTTTTGTCTAATGTTAATGGGATGCTCAGCTAACCTCTGTAGGAATTTGTAAAAGGAAGACAAATTAAGAGTTAGACTAAATAGATGTTACAGTAAAAATAAAATATCTTGGCCATTTACAAGGAATTTTTATGGTCTGCTCCACAACTGTAAATCTCAAATTCAGCCGTGCTGCCCCTTGCATTCTAACACAGCCACAGGTATCTGTCCATATGCATAATGCCAATGCGTTGCTTTTCAGTGACTCTGTAGTATGCAAATCCCCAGACTCATAAGGGCTGGCACCTCCAGCCAGTAATAAACGGCTGTCCTAGAGGTGTCTGCATCTGGCTACAACCAGAGCTGGAATGCAAGGTCGGATATCCGCCACTATGGGATAAGGAATCTAACCCCGCAAAGTGCTCATGACCAGGTCTCCACATTTTTACTAGCTGCGGTGTGATTAATGGGAGCTTTCCCTAGTTCCGCTTAACAAACTCTTGGTTTAGGTACTCTTGAAAATAAAAGGAAAATCCTTCCCAATGGCAGTTGAGCACACCAAGGTTATAGAGAAAAGAGATGTTAAGCTGCAGAAGAGCAACAAGTTTTGTTCCCTGCAAACGTCCTCACTCCATTTTGTTAGCTGGTTTGTGCTCCTGTGATATCCAGACATGTTGCAATCTCTGAATATACTGATACTCAGCTTTCCTCTTTGAAGTAGAGAAAAGCTTTTAGCTTAATTTTTTACAGCTGGAGTGCTGCAGTGCAAGGAGAATAAAGCAGAGACAAGCAGAGTATAAGCAGTACCTACATGTTCTTTCTCTCAACAGAGTGAAGTACCTGAGGACCTTGGAGTCCTTGGGACTATCAGTGCATGCCACATGGGAAGTAGACCTCAATTTCAGCAGAGTCATTTTCAAGGGCTAAGCAAGAATAGCTTTTCCCTTATCCCAGGGACATTTTACCCACTTTTCTATCCAGCTCATCTGAACCTGCAGCAGTTATTCTGAAGGCTGATCTGGATGGCAGATAATGACTTAATAAAAAGGTAGTTGTGTTAGATTTCTTGAGTAGTGAAAAGACTATGTGCAAAAAAGGAAAGGACAGCACCGCTGTATATGCATTTCCTAATGAACCTGTTTCTTTTTGATTGGTACCAGTCAAAAGGGATCTAGGGCTCTAGCCTTGATCTGATACATGTCATTTTGCAGCAGGTTCTGATGCATTATCTTTCCTATATAACAGCAGAAGTAGTTGTATATAGTTCTGTAATAATAAAAAGCACTTTATAAATATAAAATATAATTACGCAGGAGAATGTCCCTTTTCCTGTCTCCATGTGAGCAGGCAAGATCCAAAAAGAACAGATTGCTGCTTGTGGTTATCTTATGCAGTTCCTATACACCACAGCTCTCAGATAAAGGTAATGATACATGTCTCAGTCATCCTCTGTATTGCCTCCTAGCTCTAGCTGACTCAAGTGCTTGGGTTAAGCTGGAAAGCCACACCAGTGTCCAGGACATCAATTGCACATGATGAAAATACACGAATAGAAAAAAACTTGTTAATAGATCAAAAATAGAATCCAGACTAGTATTCATAAAAAAAAATTAGTTTCTTTTGGTTGGGAATAGGGAAGTGCTGAATACCAAGTAAGCTAAAGCACCGAACATCAGGTTGTTGAAATTATGTTCTTTTAACTTAGGAGTCAGGGAGGTGAATTCATTAACGTGTGGGATATCAGGCTGGGAACTTGTAGCATCAGCCTATCTCTGTCTGTGAGAAGTGTGGGTTAGGAGTAATTATATATGATCATTCTTCGTAGCATACTGGTTTAGCAGAGATCATGTGGTCTACGTAACACGAGCTCTCACTACAGCCTGTGGCTATTAAATCTTTGCGGAAAAGTGGCGTGAAGTGGTTGTGATAATTAATGAGATTTATGCAGTATGTGGATACTGGATGTGAGAATTAATGAGAACTTAATGCAAGCCAAAGATAAGCCCAAACTGGGGTTCCTCCTAGGAGGGTTTACAGCCAGGGTCATGCAACAATTTCAGACTTCAAGTGGTGCCATCACTTGGCTATGTCGTTGCAATATTTCCTATCCTGAGAGAGGTGGTGAGAAGGCATTAACAACAGAGTCTGTAGCCTTTAAGTAGCTAAATGATTTTTCTTTTTTCTGATAGTGGAAAAGTTACTGAAGAAAACAAGATTTGTGATTTCTTGGTTTAGTGTCTGTCTGAATTCTTGCGTGCAAATGAATAGACAAAATGATATATATGTCTGTCTGTTTCTAAGATTGTGATACCCTCTGCTGGCAAATATGTGAATATATAAAGCAAGCAGCTTTACTATCAGGGCTGAAACATTCCGTTAACAAAATAGGTTTCCTTCTATCACGACAGTTTACTCTTACAAATGCAACATTGTCAAAAGAGAAGTGTTTCATAGTAACCTATCAATTTTGACAAAGTTTTCATGGAAAAAATCATGTTTTTTCTGGATGACTTAAAATTACTTTGAAGTAAAGTGCTTTAACATTACAGAGAAAAATAGTACTTTTTTTTCTGGATTCACGGAGTACTTCATTAGCCGCACACCATTATGTTTTATGCCTGGCACAGAAGCAGGTGATAACCTTCTTCTGTAAGTCTGTATGGCAATATGTTATTGATCATGATTCATTTACTTACCAAAGGTATTTGGCAGCTAGGCTGCCCTGATTTAATAGTTCCCTGAATTTCTGATTCTTTTTTTCCATCTTTGTTTTCCTAACTTTTCTGTCTTATAATACAAAAACGCTGAAAGGTTTGGAACGGGCTGGTGAGGGCTGTAAGCCCAGAAGCAAACATGCTCATGCCATATCAAAGTCCCACCACTTTTAAGCTTCTTGAAAGGGAAGGAATTGATTCCAGATTCTCAGGATGTGGCAAGCTGTGTTTAAAGAAAGTGTGTGCATTTATTATTTCAAGTCAGTTCAATTACAACGGGCTTGATTCCTTCCACCCCCCGTGTCACTCGATAATTTTATAACAGGCCTCTCTGAAGGAGTCATCTCCTCGTCGCGGGATTAGGTCCGCGCCTCGCTTCGATAGCACAACTGGGTTATTCAGTCCTCCGGCCGTTGCCACCAGGCTTCACCGCTTGTACTTGAAATGACAAGTGCTCATCCACACAAGAACAGGAGTCCTTGGGAGAGCTGAGTGGCAGTAGTCTTAAAAATTATTTCCTGGATGCTCTTGCTCAAGTTGTCGTGGACAATTTGAGAGTTTTTGGTTGCTTAGTGATTGTTTAATATCTAGAAGGAGATCTTGTCTGAGCACAGGAAAGTAAACCAAGACCTTGTGAGTTTACTTTGGTTCCTTTGGTTGATGCTGAGCAAGTCACTCAAGCTCTGTACAGTAACCAGGGTAGCAACAATTTATGTATTCATTGGAGAAGGATGAAATTTAATTAATTGGAATGCTGTGTACATATTCGGTATCTGGCTTATTATTTTTTCTTGCGAGACTGTATACTGCAAACCAAGGGGACAACATATAGTAACCACTCATTAACCGTGCCGCCTAAAATTATAAGTTCTTTGGCTCATAGAATGAGCCCTTTGATTTCATTTATGAGTTTAAAAAGTTGTTCTTGAATTGAGTTCTTAGGGGGCACCAGCTCCAGTGTGGGTGGGCGCATTCATTAGTGGTACGGAAGGATATTTCACTGTACGGCTCTTCAGAAGGCGCTGAGCCGGGAGACCACCAACATGATTTCATGCAGAGGAATTTCCAGCCGTCTGACCAGAGGACTCCGCTTGTCTGGTTTGGATTTACATCAAGAGGCCAAAAATAAAAGCGCATTTAAATCATTAACTTACATGTGAC